TTATACAATTTCAACTATGAGAAGTTTTTCAGTCTTTGGGTTATTTTTGGTGAGCAAAAAAAATGAGATGAAATTGTATATACACTAATACATTGTATAAATTTTGTATATAAAGTGTATCCGATATTTTTTNAAGTATATATATTATTCTGCAATGCATAAGAAGCGTATATATTATTTTATGATGTATAAAAAGTGTATACACTTTATACTAGTGTAAAATGTGTATATTGTGTGTACAAGGTATACATCACCTTCTTCTTTTTCTTCTTATATCATGAGTATTTTTGCTTATGCAATATCATATATTTTTTAGATTAGATCAATAAAAAATTTAGGCTCTTAGTAAAAGATAAAAAAAATATAATTTAAGTGTAATAGGAAGAGTTTGAAAGTTGAAGAGGTGAAAGTGCTCAAATTTTATCCAAAAAAAAATAAAAAAAAATCCGAAACATAAAAGGAGATGAAAGCGTTCGAAACTTAAAAAGTCAATAATTTTCCGTGTGTCATAACAAACAAATAAAAAATCCTAAAACCTAAAAGGAAATTTTTTATAAACGTAAAAGGAATTGAAGATTAGGCGGCGCTGATTATTTAGTTGCAATTGCTAGCCCTTGTAATTGGTTTTGAGCTATGAATTGTATGGCTATTGATTGTCATTAGTTTTTCCTAGATTAGATTGCTCAATCTTGAATATATACCTTCTCAACTCATTTCCGTACATTTTTTACAAGTTTTAGGGCATACACATGTATAAAATGCACGAGTCCTCAGCTTTACAAGGGAGATGGCCAACTGGAATCAAATTTAAAGAACCTCAGACTAATCCATAATGACTCCCTACAACAATTATTGCAAAAACTCTGATCCTACAACACAAAAAATAACATGCATAGGACAAACATCTACTTCTCAGGACTACAAATCTTCACCTGAGATAATTCTATTACAACATATAAGAGAATATACATAGGAGAAGACATCCACTTCATTGGACTAAAAACATCCCCTGCCCGTTGGAAAAACACAGAGGGATTAACATAGAGATACTATGTTTCCTAGATTTCACATATCTATCCTAGAATGTTTGCACAGCTATATAAAACAGCCTGAACCACCCCCAAAAAAACTAGTGTCTCAGGCTTTTGCAGCATTACACCTTAATGGCTGCCCGGTTGTCCCTCATTTCTCCGATGCCTTAATGATTTTTTCCCATCAGTTGGTTGTTTTGTCGAATGTCCTAATGTTAAGCGGGACATAACGTATGCCAGTAGTTCTTCGCGATGAGAAAATGTAAAATCCAAATGTGCGTACTCAAACTCATTATATGATACCTCTACACCTGCATCAGTCATCAGCTCATAATGTTTCCTAACCATGGATGGCCTAATGACCTTGTCCTTCTGCCCAGCAACAAGATCTACAGGAATATCAATAAGAAAATAGTACTCTCCCAAATCCAAAGGCTGAGGGAAACCGTAGACTTCCATGTTTGCAGCTGCACTCCCATAGTCAAACATGATGAACTTACGACCATGTTTGATCTGTGCCATGTGGAGTGCCACACGAAATGAAACAGCTGGCATATCATTCATATTGTAGTGTGGTAACCCTAAAGCTCCAATCCAGTTTGAACTGTCGCCACCAACCCCATAGCTTATCAGGGTTTGAACAAGACCTCCAACTGCAGGTAAGTTATGGAAGTCCCGCGCCAACTTGTTGACCAACATGCGGAAAAACCAAGTGGGTATATAGAAAGCTGGCACAAAGGGCATCAGTAAAGGAGATAATATTAGGAATAAGTACTCCATCACCGTGAATACAGGATTCGAATCGTGATGGAAGCCAGCAGGTGATAACAAAATCAATCTTGAAAGCCTATGAGGTTTTTCCCAAATCCGCTGTGTTATGACATACATCAGAATAGCAGCTCCACCCAAACTATGGGAAATCGCACAGAGTTCATAAGGTTGATCACTGTCACACTCTTTTTCAAGACCTGCTTGGCTAGTTTTCAATTCAGAAACTTTTATTTCATGGATCTTTGCTATCATTGCAGGTATATCCTGTGACCCGTGCTCGTTTATGGAATACTGCCAGTACCTAAATGCACATGCCACATACGGAAATTAAAAGTATCCTCAAAGACAATGGCAAATAATTTCGAAATCAATACCATTTCGACAAAGAGATTGGGAGCTGCATGAAGTTGTACACTTACTGTCTTGAGGATATATTGCTGTCAACATGTTCTCTTGAAACCAGTCCACGAAAATTTCCAAGGAAAACATCGTACCCTGAAAACAATAGAGAAGAGTATATACAGCTGAATATCTCGGTACAGCAATAACCGCAGTATTTTACACCTTAAACGTTGGCTCACAAGATTGAAGGACAAACCTTGATCATAGGCTGCAAATGCAGGAGAACCAACAACTCCATTTGATACCCAACTGTAAAGTCAGGCAAACGTTTAAGATGCAAGATGTACTAAATTATCTACATAGGCTACAATTATAACCAATCAAACAACTCTTTTAGCAACAAAAGGAGGAAAAACAACTAAGAACGGAAAGATTGTTATGCCTCAAAGAAATCTAGAACATATACATTGACAAAGAGATGCACTGGTCAGTTTTCTAGCGAATTGGATGGGATACTTCCGCAAGGTACAAGGTTCATGATCCACAAGATCAAAGTAAAAGATAATTGTTGATATCATGCTCAGACAATTTAATCAACTTTCCCCACAAATAACAGAGCTCAGAATTTTCCACGGGCTACTGCAGAATATACACCATCTTCAAAAGTAAAATTTGCAATACCGCGCTTATGCAGAAGCAAGTTCAAGCAAAAGTATCTTGCTTTCAAGATCAGTCAAACTTTGTCAGTAACAAAATTTAATTAAGAAGTGGAGTACTGAATTTCCAACGTTCATAATCCTAGTCCACTATTCCAGCAGAACCAATAAGCACATAATGCAACGCAATGTTTGACCTACTCACAGATGCTCTTGCTAGCCAAATTATTAAATATAATATTAGAAGCAACAAAGGGAAAAAAAAAAGGAAAAGAGAAGACATGGCTCTTCAAACTGTTGCTTATCATATACACGTCCCAGATCCAACAACATATCGCTTCGAAAATTCTTGCAGCGAATTGATTAGTATGCCTTCCAGAACTTCATCTAGTTATACTAGTTACAGACCTGAAGGACCTGAAAGGACAACTTAACAATCTGTCGACGCGATATACATCACTGGTCATTGCAATCCCCAATTTAGACAAGTATAACAATATACACACAAAAGCAAATGTGACACGAAGAGTTCAGGTAGATGTATGGCTCACCCCATGGATGAATCAAAAACCCCATGTTGCAGATAAACAACTTTCCGAGCATCACGTCTGCAACATCAGATTAAAATCAACACGTCAAACATTCATAAACATGCATCCACCTAAAAGCTCTGGATACAAAGAGACAGCGATGGTAAACAGGAATCTAAACCTTGGAATTCTCTCCAAAAGAAGAATATATCCATCGTTAGTTACCACACGAAGAGCTTCATATGGGTACCTACAACAGAAAGGAGTCGTGCTGAGAATAAATGTGTAATGCCATATTTTTTGTGAAAATATCAACTGCTTAGTTAGGAATCCAAGAGTTCCTGTTGAAAACCCATGCTTCAACTCTGTAAAGAACAATGCAGTACCCTGAACAACAAAGACAACCCTATTTCCTAAAGCAGAGGAGAAACGAAAGAGGACTGTATAAAAGAATATCTTGTCTTCACTGAACAACAACGACTTACTTAAAAGGGAAAACAAATTAAAAGACGGCAATAGGAAGATCCATTTATCACTGACGACGCCTTCACTAAGCATAAAATTAAAATTTATTTGAGCTTGTTATCTGTTTGGAAACATCTCTATCCAAGGAAACACGCATGTCAGATTTGTGAAGCGGCGGAATCAAACCAAAATGCCATACCCAAGCTCTGTTATGACATCTTGACACGTCCTAGCATCTGTATTAAGGGAATGATAAAAGCTTGTCTGTCGTTCCTTAGGCATAGGATCATTCTCTGAAAGAGTATCCACAGGTACAGATACACCTGAACCATCAGCAGAAACATCCTCACGACCACTCATATAAGAAAAGAACCATTTCACCACTTTCATAAATGTGACTATTGGTGAAAGAAAACAATGTGCTGCCTTGTGAACAAATCCAAAGACAGCCTCGATGATGATCTCAATTGCTAGATGGAGATCCTACATAAAACAAAATCAGACCAGTCATTTTCATAAAAGTTGTAATGGCCTAATGGAAGTGCAAAAGAGCAATAAGATGATTACTTAAATGACCAACAAGCTGTCAAACCGAAAAAGCCCGTATATTGCCCCTTACTCCAGCCCCAAACCGAAAAGATGAGCACAATATGTAATGTGAACGAAAACCCCAACATGTTCATCCAAAAAGCGAAATGGATCTAAATACATACATCATACGTATGATTCATGAGAGCTAAGCCCACTTCAACTAGTTCTGGATTCAGGCTTAGTAGATTGATACTATATGAGGAGAAAAGTAAACATGCCAAACCTCAACTATGCCTCGCCTTCTGTCAGTGGTACGTTGGACAAAGTGGTCCCTCAGTGACTGTAATCTCTTGGTAGCTTGTACATTGGAAGGCTGAAGGCTCACAGACGTACTAGAGGCTCCACTGCTTCTACTTGGACCACACAGATACAAAGGTATGCCCAACATAAATTTAACAGGAAAAAAGAACCATGAGAAGATGTATCCGAGCAAATGTACCCAGTGGCTGCTCTGCCTGGTAAAACTGCTCACTCTAGATGCTCGAGAACTTCGTAACAGAGGAGATGTAGGACAAATGTTTTCATCGCCATCTTCTTCCGGTGATGAGCACTCGACACTTGAGGAGGCATTGGAATCAATAGAAAGCTCATGGATGAATTGGTTAAAGGATGAGACGCCACTGTGATCACCAAGGAATATGTTAACACAATTCACAGTTATTAAACATACGAAAAGGGTAGTAAGATTTTATTACATTTTTGACATACTGGAAAATAGAGGAGATGAAAATAACACATCTGTCAATGCATAGCCTGAGAAAAAGCAAGTTTTCTGAATTTAAAAACATGGGAAAGAGGAAACATACTTTTCCATCCATCGTGGAAGCCTAGGTCCACGAAATGTTGGGCGAAGCTCCCAACCATGAATACCTTCAAGAATAGAAGAGTTCCCTGGCAATATTGTCAATAATAGTGCTGCCATCCCATTAATCAACCTCACAACATTGTTCAGTGACTCATAAGTGAATGTCTTAACTGACCTGAGAGAATGAAGAAAGATATATAAAAATCAAATAATTCATCCATCCCAGCAAATTTCTGAAGGAGGTTAAGAGACAAAACTACACACATAAAACAGCATGACGGTAACCGCAAGGATCTCGAGTTAAACATTCTAAACAGTTAAACGTCCTTTAGATAAGATAGGCAGTTACTATGTCTTAGTGGCGTAACTAAATGGCTATCCTCAGAAGAAATACTTTCATTTACAACACAAAAATTTTGGCACTATCTCTCATTTATCCTGCTAAAAAGGAATGTTAACATAGGTGATGATAGCCAAGCCTATCCACTTCGAATGCATGTCCATATTGGCCAAGATTGCGTCTTACGGACTTTCACCATTAGTTCGGTTACTTGAATTGTGTCAAGAACTAAATAAAACCAGCTAAAGGCTTGTTTCGTGCAGACATCGGTCACTTTTAGTTGGAGCTAGTTATTTGCTGAGCAGTAACAGCCAATAGAGAGATTACAGAGATTAACATACAAAGACATTACTCGTATACAACTTCTTTCCCACCAGGTGAGTGAGCAAGAGTATATCCGAAGCTCATGGTTTCATATCTTAAATAATAAATACACATCCTACAATGTCAATAGCAAAGCTTCAGCTGCCAACTTATAACAGGATATAATGTTGTGACAACCTTGAATACGCCGAAAATGTCTTCTTTTGATATAGTTAATAATGATATCTTCCCTAGTTCCGCCTTTTCTCTATGGTAAGTGTATCCTTCTTATTGTAAGTGATTAACCTAGTTCATTCATTTATGCTACCAGGTAAAGCAATAAAAACAATACACATCCTCCAGGTTTACTAAAAAGACCATCATGGTCCAGTGATATAAACTATAAAGGGCTCTTTTTTCAACATATAGGGACCAATGTCAATTTTCTCTTACATCTGCCTGGTACTCTCTATAACTCCTAGTCTTCAACACTCTGTAACTGCAAACTCCTCTCTCATTGGTCAGACGGTCAAACTCAGAAACTTCACACAATTCAATCTTATCCTGAAACCACTCCTTTGTTAATTGAGTTTTATGAACTTTACCGTAATTATGCGTTTACCTCATGTTGCATGATTCAATTAGCAACAAATGAATTGACGCTTGTATAGTCGTATACCATTAGCAGTGATAAACAAGACATCACTTTGGCATTCTTCTATAATAACATATCACCAAATTGGTGTCATCATAATTCTATTCCTTGTGCAAGTAACAGGTCTAATTTTTCTCTTCCCCCCTCCCCCCCCCCCCCCCCCCCCCCCC